CCCCTAAACCCCCCCCTTGGGTACGGCCCTGCTTACTTGTGAGAAATTGTTGTGGATCAACGTATTCTACTGAAATTAATAAAAAAACACGTGTTACAATCCCGTGTATTTTTTATAACAGTTGTCACAGCGTGGGTGGTGTCTCAAACTACTCGTATGACGTATGACGTAATATACTATTTACAAATAGTCGCAACATTTGTAATAATTTATTTGAATTGGCTTATTTAATTCTTAATAGTTGTTAATTCATGTTATTATGAAAGGAAGACTGACAGTGGCCAACAGACGAAATAATTAAGCATCTTGGAAATCATCGTGACTCATATGTTTGTATTGAAATGATTTTTCAATCGGAAAATTCTGGCCACTATTGGAAATCCATAAAATTAAAGTCGTTGACAGTTGGAGCGTCAAAAATTTCTGTGAATTGAATCGTATGATTTTTTTATTACACAACACGTAATAAAAAACCACTGTCTCAGACAATTCATTCAAGTTTAAAACCCTCGCACTTGTGTTTTTTTCTCGCTTTTGTCGCATCAATGTAAATTGCGCTGTCGCAAATAATTTCGCAAAAATCTTTAAGGAGGGTTATAGTTGCCTTTTTGTCGCGAAACTAATCAAGATTATTGCGCACCAATAGTGGTGGGGTAGACAAAAGACAAAACAGCTTTGAATTGTGCCGCTGAGTATTTGTTGGCAAGGGCGGTGTTGCGCAGTCTCAAAGCACGTCAGTCCTCCACGAAGGTGGGTCTTGTGCACGGCAGACGGTCGTCTGCATAGAAATAAGTACAGTCGGTGCAGATAAAAATTGGTTATGTCGTAAAGCACGTGCGAGCCCACCCTTAAGAAAATGCTGCCGCGAATATGCAATGTTACCGTTGCATTCAGCTTGGTTTTGTGTTGTCTAATCGGTGCTTCTTTCGCCAATTCGGAATTTAACGACCAGGGTAAGTTTGAGCGCTCCAACCCTCCATCCCCGGCCGCAGAGGGTCGAGGGTGAACTCGCGATTTTTGCCCAAAGCCACGGAATTAAGCGCACTTATAGACCTCGCTCACGTCACATCACATCACCTGATCTCTATTATTTACCTGCGTGAACCTAAAATCACAAACCTAACCTTAAATAGACGCGTTTATTCTCACCAAATGAAACAATTAAATTTCATGTTTGTTTTTTTCTATGCCCATTTTGCACCATTACTACTCAAATTTTCACTGATATTAAAACACATATACTTGGCTGCGCGATTAGCGCCAACTTTTTTCGCGGTTTTTCACGCGCTTTTTTATTTCATTTTTTAAATATACAATCTTTGCGACAACTATACATATAAAATTACACAACACATGATTTTTGGCTATGCTATATCTGATGTTATAAACATTGTTTTGAAATTTAATACAATGTTTATAAACAAACTAGGTGTTATTGTATCGTGGTAATGTACCGGTTAATAACAATTTGTTATAAGCATTTTTTGCTTTCAGGCATAATTATTATGTCATGGTACCTATTATCAATTTAACCTTCATAACTACATTGTTACGGTGTATTTTACCTATTTTATGGTGTATTCTAACTTGTAAATGTTGGGACAATTTTATTACTCTGAGGCGTGTGACAATAAAATTTATGAATTCCAGGTTTATTCTTCTCATTGTAATCGAAAATTTGCTCAGGACGTTTTTTTTTTACTTTTACGTTTTACGTATTTTTGTGCAGTTAAAGTAATATACGTACCGGGACCAAGCGTTTTTTTTTTTTCATTATTTGACTCCAGAGAATAATAATTAATATGTACTAAAGTAGTATAAAAAACGTGATCGTATTTTGAGAACGAAATTTTGTTTTGTTTTTGAGTTATGCGATTTTTTTTGTTAAAATTGCATTTTATGCTTTTTTTTTTTAATTAAATATAAAGTAGATAGTTGTAATCCTTAGATCATAACCTTGAAAAAATAATTTTATAGTGGGTTGCCATTTAAAGAAACAAATATTTGTGCAACTCAAAAACAAACAAAAATACGAAAAATTTTATTCTTGATAAAACATCACATTTTTATAGTACTTTTTCCAAAAAATAAATAGTTTAAGCAAAGAACGTTTGGTTTTATACTTCTTATTCACCTGGTCATAGAAAATAATAAACGCCCAGTAAAATAATTGCAATTATTCAGTAAAAATTTTTTTCTGTGCAAGATATAATATTATACTGATCTGTTCTAGTTTTTGATTATTGATCAGTTTAGACCGAACAAAATTGATTACTGAACGCTTTATTATTACTCGTTTTTTTGCACCGAGAAATGATTCTGAATTTTTAATCAAATAGTACTCTCATTGTGACTCGAGTAATTTGTGTTACGAGCCACGCAGTGGTGAGTATTTACAAGATAAATTGACGAAATTGTAAGTGTTTTTTTACACAATTTTTGATAGAGCAGGAAAAAACCAACAGATTGTTCAAAAATCAAAAATAAATCCATAAATCAAAAAAATCCTTAAAACAAAAATTAAAAAAGTTTAAAAACCAAAAGGATTCAATAATCAAAAAAATGCAAAAAAACATAAAAACTAAAATTGAAACAAATTATTTCACACAACAACAGTAGACTAAAAGGTCAAGAAAATATATAAAAAATGTTTTTTTAAAAAAAGCTAATTATTAAAAAAATGTGTTACGAGCCACACAGTGGCGAATATTTACAAGACAAATTCACGAAATTGTAACAGTGTTTTTTTACACAATTTTTGATAGAGCAGAAAAAAAAACAACAGGTTGTTCAAAAATTAAAAAAATACTAAAAATCAAAAAATCCTTAAAACAAAAATTAAAAAAGTTTAAAAATCAAAAGAATTGTAAAACTAATAAGTTCAATAATTAAAAAAAATCAAAAAAAAAAAACAAGAAAATTGAAACTTAAGTTATTTCACAAAACAGTAAAAACTAAATAATCAAAAGCATATATAAAAAATGTTTTTTTAAATAAGCTAATTATTAAAAAAAACCACGCAGTTGCGAGATAAATTCACGAAATTGTGTTTTTTTTACTCAATTTTTGATAGAGCAGAAAAAAACCAACAGGTTGTTCAAAAATCAAAAAAAATCAAAAAAATCCTTAAAAATAAGTTCAATAATCAAAAAAATTCAAAAAGCCATAATAGAAATCAAAAAAAAAATCAAGAAAATTGAAACTTAAGATATTTCACAAAACAGTAAAGACTAAAAAGATAAAAAAAATTTAAAAAATGTTTTTTAAAAATATGCTAATTATTAAAATAATGTACTAAAAAGTAAAAAATATTTTTTTTTCTGTCAGAGAGCAAGAATTATAAAAAATAATATTTATAAAAGTTTTGGGGGCGGTCAACTGAGCAAAGTAATTGTGCAATGAGTCCTAATATTATAACCACTCCCAAAGCTTTTATTTTTAAAATCTCAGAAAATTTTCCGTAATAGGTAGTTATTTTTTTTATTTCCAATAAAAATTAGCAAAAATTACTTGTAAAAAGTTTGTTTCCCTGACTAATTCCGGATCCCGTTAAAAAAAAATTGGCTTGAGGAATACCTACCTGCACAGGTATAGAAAGCCAGGTAGGCAGCCGGCAAAGGTTGCGGGTACTGATGTCCACATAACCAAATAAAACTGAATTCCAAAATATTCATAATTAGGAGTAGTTTATTTTCGAAAAATTCGATTTTGTTCAGGTGAATTGCGATTAAATGCGGACTGATAAAAACATCGAGTTACCCCATGCGGAATATTGGTAAAACCTCTATTATGAAACAATGCAAGATATCATTATTTTGTTGACATGAAATGTGGACGTTTTTAAAATGTATAAAGTTGAGATTTTCACATTTTACCGAAGGACAAGCTCACTCAAAAGAAATTTGTTTTTTTCTAACTCAACCGCACAAGCACAAGCACAAGTTTGATCTTTTTCTTCGAACAAATTCTCCGACAGATGTTTATTTTCCGAATATTGTAAATAAACTAAACCAACTGATAAAATATTCTGCAACTATTTGGCGAAAAGAACTTGCTGGGAATATGAACTTACATGCATAAACTCGTAAAACATTATTATAAAAAAAGTTTGTCTTTTTGCAAATTGTAATTATTAATTTTTTTGTTAAAAGAAGAGCACGCGTGTTTGCGTTTTATTATTGATTATTTGATGCAGAAAATATAAATACGCATGTTGTGTCTTGATTGTTTTTTTTTGACCCACGCATTTGAAAAAATTCATTCAATTTGAGTTGGTTTATTTCCAGAACAATTACAAGGTTTTAATTTAAATTGCGCTTTATTTTTACTACCTTTTACTCATACAAAATAAACATAGTGGAAATAATTAATGATCATTTATCTTTTTAAACAATTAATTAGCTTTTATTTAATTATTCTGCATAATTAATTCATATCGGATTATTTTATCAATAACTGAATCGAGATTTTTCTATCCCACAACAATTAGGTGTACTGATAACTGTTTTGTTATTGTTATTTTTTGAAATTCAATTTTCTATAGTGTATATAATAAATTAATCAATCGGTGATCTAGAATACCAACCAAACCACAGAGTACAGAGATATTTATCACTGTCACTGGTTTAAAATCCACTTTTATTGTATAATAATTATTTATGTTGTGAATTTAAGTGAGAAATAACATGATGGATGAATATTAAGTCTATTTCCATAATCCGAAGGTCGCCATTTTGACTGAACTTCCTTGAAGCGCTAATTTATTGGTGCTTCGAAATTCGATATACAGTTAGATCTTTAGGAGTATCTTATTAAATAAATTTGTTGCATATTGTTTACGTAGATTGTTTACGTGAAGCGAAATTAACGTAATTAGAGAATGTTACAATTAGAGTTAGAGATGATATTGCTTATTGCAGGGAGATTCAATATGTTTAGCAATAATATTAGTGAACGGTATTATAAATGTAACTAGAAGCGTAAATTAGTTAGTGTCTATGGCAGGTGTCAAACTTTGAAAAATATGGACGGGGGGTTGAAATCTTGGTGGTTTTGTAATCGTTTGCGGTTTTCTCCTCGAAACTAAGTTGAGAAACTTGTTGTGCCAATGAAACCTTAATTGTTTTAAGGGAAATAGATTTTCATTAGTTGTTTAATTTCAAATAAGTAAACTTGTTAACAAAATTTAAATAGGACAGTTAAAACTGTTTTCAACATTGAAATTAATTGCTCCTGAGGATTGTTATTAGGGAATACATTGTGTTTAATTACACTTTATAAATCTGAATTAATGTCGACGTAAATTTAAAAGAGACTTAAAAGCTTCAAAAATAAGGAAGATGGGGCGTGATTGTAATTGCATCGTGATACCTTTCAACAGCATCTTACTCGTCTCCACCTCGGTCCAATCCCAATCTAATTTCTAAAATTAAAATGACCTTAATTTGGCTCTATTACACTCTATCATCGCTTTTAATTGTGCTCTGACGTTGCTTAAAATTATGGAAGAATCAAAACCCAGAAACCTGAGAACAATATATCTTACGTTCATTATGAGTCGATGTATTTATTGACAGGAAATTTAATAAACCTCCTTTGTTTCCAATAAAATAGATTCTATTTTTGTAACCTATATTTTCTTAGTGGTAATTTAATAAGATAAAAGTTTTGTTGAAATTTGATGTTAAGTGTAGTATAATGTAAAACTTTAGTGTATATTTCTCTGGAAATAAAGTTTTTATGAGAGTACGCTTGAGTGAGGGTTAAAATTTCTTGTTCAACTAATAAAGAAGTTACAAGTTTAACTGGGCGAAAACAATCAATTGATATAAAGAATAACACTAGAAAACGAATATTTTTCAACGAACGATGGAATTTGATTAATGGGTTTGAGTGGTGAGAACATTGAAAACCTCAACTCGATATCATGAATAATAAGAACTCACTCGCATTT